TACCTGACTAAATCTGTTATGTGCTGTTGTGATTCATAAAGTCTAGATGGGACAAGGCCACATTTGTCCCACAGGATGATCACCTCACCCTCAGCATCACCACTGGTTGAAGGAAAAGGAGGGGAGATGGCCCTCTCCTTCTTACTGGTCATGCAGGCACCCCATTCTGAAATCGGCAGAGGAAACTGCAATGGCTGGGAGTGATGGTGATGGAATGGGACAAGATTATCTTCTTCCCCTGTGCTACTCCCCCTCATCTGAAACTTACAAACAGGCCTCTACTTTTGTTACAGTCTGTTCACCTGCTCGCTTCCCCCAAACAGTCTTCCTGATCAGTGACTGTCTGACATCAAATCAAGTGTGCTCAGAACTTTCTTCATGCCAAGCAGGATCCCTAACTTGCCTTTTGCAAACCAGCATGAGCTTTCATTCAGCAGTCTACGACCGATTACACTTTGAAACTAAACTGGTTTCTTTTCTGTTGTTTTCAGCAAACTAAATTGTTCTCTTTATGTCACCACCTGAACATGCTCCTGGCTTTCTGGATTTCTTTCTCTTTTCTTTTCTTTTTTAATGAATTGATAGAATATATTTAGTTCTTCCTACCCTTCTAAACAAAAGTTTTCTGCAAGTTTTATAATCCCTATCTCTTCAAGAGAGGCTTGCTGGACTTTTATCATAATAATGCCAAGGAGAACTACAATGCAAATCGCATATATCAATGTACTCTTTTAAAAAAAAAAATTTCTATGAATTTAAGCAACAAATTCACCTGAACAAATGTCACCTGGTAGGTAGAGGATTTGAACTCTCTCATTGATGAGCTTTCTGCTCTCTTCCATCAAAACTACTTGTAAACGCCGTTTGAAAACTATCCCATGAAATGGCACCAAGGAGAAGTAAGTGTGGCAGAAAATAGGAAATGAAAACTACAATCTATTTTGCAATGACAAGGTCCCTGACCCTGCATACAAATGATATCTTTGGTCATCATATCACTAACTCTTTTTGTTTTGAAAAGCTTCTGCTCCTCTCCAGGTGACTAGGTGAGCAATTGCTGGACGTATTGGGTCTGCAATACGTTTGCAGACCCAAAAGTGTTCTATGTTTATGTGTTAACATCAGGAGAAGGCAATGTTTAAATGCTCCTGTTCTACAACTCCTGTGATTCCTTGTTAATACAGAGTATTGAGAAAATAACATAAATGTATAGGTTCCTAGTCCAGTTGTGCATATAACCATATTTATTAGAGGTATGCACTTTTTTATTCAGGTCTCATAAGTCGTTTCAAATCTGTTAAATTCATACTTATGAGGTGATGTCTGACACATGGGCATGGCCTGTGACAAAAACTTAAGAAGTGAACTTAAGAAGTGAACTTTTTCGTTTGCATTTTGTAAATCTTCCTCCCAAAGTCAGTTTTATTTTCAGTGCAAGGAAGCAAAACTAAGCCAAAAAGACTGCCATTCTGCTTTAAATTAATGGCCTCTCATCATTAGAAGAGCGAAAGGAGGGAGCAGTGTTTGCTGAGTAAAAGACTGAAATGTAGTTTGGGAAAGCAAGGAGCCCAATGCCAGAGAATTCAAAAGGCCATGTCCTAAACTACATTTCCCAGAATTGTGCTCATATCAAAGCCCCAATCAGGATAGGGGAGATCTATTTCCCTCCAAAGCAGTGACCATCCAGAGTTCAAATCAATTGTTAAATCTGCAAAGAGAAGGACTGACTGAACCATTTAATAAGTCAATCTCTGTGCTGGGTTGGGAAGAAATCCCTAAATGGAAAATCCTTGGGGATTCCCTCCAAATCAACAGGGGAAGCATATTAATTAGTTTATAGACTGGATAGCCATCTGTCAGGAGACTTTTGATGGTGCCCTTATGCCTGGAAGAAGGGGGATGGACTAGATAGCCCTTGGGAGTCCCCTCCAACTCTAGGATTCTATGAAAATGTAGAATTGGTTAATATTGGTTTCTATTGGTTAATATAAGAGACATTCAATGAAATAGCTGTCACGACTTTAAAAAAGGTTTTTGTCAAAATGTTAAAAAATTCATTAAAATCAGTAGATGTATGAATATTTCTGAAAGTTTGGGAAAATGATCTGCTGTTATCCCCTGTCATTGTATAGAAAATTCAAGGATTTTTCTTTTTGAAAATGTTGTTTATACAAAATTTGAAAATTCCCAAAAAACCAAGGATAAGTTCTGAAACTTGATGGGTGAACAGTGATAAATCTGTTCTGCCATTGTAGTAAATTTTACCCCAATAGCTGTAAAATGAGGGAGAAAGGAAACCCTGAAGTTTCCCCAATTATAGTAATTATGTGCAACTACTATAACAAAATGTTTTAAAAATCATTATTCTTGAGATAATATTTTTTTTTCATGTCAGGAGCAATTGCTCCTGTTGTGAGAGAATTTGCCGTCTGCAAGGACGTTGCCCAGGGGACACCTGGATGATTTTTGATGTTTTATCATCCTTGTGGGAGGCTTCTCTCATGTCCCCGCATGAGGAGCTGGAGCTAATAGAGGGAGCTCATCCGCCTCTCCCCGGATTCGAACCTGTGACCTGTCGGTCTTCAGTCCTGCTGGCACAGTGCTTTAACCCACTGCGCCACCGAGGGCTCCTGAGATAATAATGAAATGTTCATTAACTATACTTTAGAAACACTTTAGAAATGAAATGCCAGTGCCCCCTTATTTTGAAATGACTTTTGAAACTTTTTAAAATCTATCACACATGTTGAGGCCTGTGAAGCCTCTGAGGATGAGGATGATGATTTTCCGGTTGAGCCTGGTGTTTCTGTGGGGAAAAGTAAAAGTGTTTTTCAAAACTCTAGGAATGTTTTGGGTAGATCTGTTGTTGGGGATACGGACAGCAATTCTCATAAGAATCAGCCAGGGATTGACTCTGAAAGGAATGTGGAAGTGACAGGAGGGTTATAGATAACCCAGCATTTACAGATCAGAAGAAAAACAGAGACAATCCTGGTGTTCCTAGAGACTGAAAGATAAACCAAGGGTCTCAGGTATGAGAAAGAGTGATGTATTCTTAAGGAATTGTAGTCAATGTTCAGTGGGGGAATCAACATTGGATTTTCAAGTGTCAAGTTGCCTGTCTTGTGAACTCTCAGTTAGGAGTTCTGTTTTTGGGTTTCTACCTTGTTTTCCTGTTTAAGTTCCATGCCTCCTGTTTAGATTACAATTTTTGTTGCAAGTTTCAAGCTTTTGGAATTATAGTCAACTTCAAGTATCAGGCCTTTGGATTATGGTCATGTTCATGCTATCAAGCTTCTGGATATAATTCTAGTTTAAGTGCAACAAACCTTGGGTTACAATTTCTTGATCTTAAGTAATTTTTGGAATTCCTGTTCAGAGTTGGTCATTGCTTTTTGTTAAGCTTCTGGAAAACTAGCTCATGTATTTTAAAACTGTTTTTATATTAGATACTCTTTTCTTAATAAACTTACTATTCATCTGTGTGGTGTTTAGGTGAAAAGCGGATCAAGCAGGCAGCTGGGCTGCAGCAGCAAAGGGGCAACTCAGTCACATAACACTTTAAGCAAAATGCTAAAATGATGTGAGTAGAATCACTGAGCATTCAGGAAAAGGGAAGGTGCAAACATACCTGCTTTACTAAGCTGAAGACACAGCAGGCATGTGTCTCCTCTCAGCCTGGGAATGGGGTGAGCAGCTGTACCCCAAGCAGAGAGGAGAAACACGTGGCTGCCGAGAGCTCTCCTGTGTTCTCAGAAGTTGCATGTTTCCTCCTCTCAGCCAGGGGACATGGCAGGCTGCCTGCATCCCCAGGCTGGGAGAAAGACTCTATTCCCCCCACCAACTGCCCCAACCTTCCCCCATGCCAACTGCACCCTCCCCACACCAACTGCTCCCACCTCCTTTTCATCTCAACCTGGCCCAGGTCATCTACACCAGCCCACAATGCAGCCCCCTCCAAAAAAAGGTCTGCCCATACTTGTTCTATAACAAATAAACATCAGAAGAGTAATGATTGGCAATACTAAGGACTCTCTATCTGGAAGCCTCAGACTATCAAGAAGTAATGTGATGCTAATCAACTTTATATGAATAATACTTAATTATCAATCTGCTTACAAATAAAGCACAACTTGCCTGTATTCAAAGGAAATATGCTAACTATAGAGGTAGAGAGGACATTAAATGCACATTTATTTGTAATCCGCATCAACACATGTTCATAATATATTAGAAGAAAATATCCAGATGTATTCTGACAGATCATCCACTAATTTCAAGGGATTATGCTTCAGTTGTCATAACCTAGGAACACCTTCAATAAAGAAAAGCTCTTCATTTCCCAACTTGAGGAATAAGTAAACATGAGGCCTCCACATCATGGAAAACCCAGACACTATCCAGTGGAGAACAATGCATGAAACCTCCGTGGTCCTCCTGGAAAGTAGAGACTATTTACACTCCTGTGTATACAAAGCATATCCGGCACACTGCATGCATCAGCTTCTTGGTTTTGAGAAAACGATTTTAAGTTGTACCTATGAACAGGTTTATGATTTTCTAGTTTAGTAGAAGATACTACCCATTCAGCTCCATTCATACATGATAGTGTGAGTTAAACTTTTTTTTCCAATACAGAGAGTATCACACATCCCAGAAATCCATCTCTCCTCTGTCCAATGATCACAAACAATTGAGACTCAACTGCCAGCCAAGTAATTAATTTACTGCAAATCCGTATACTAATTACAACATCCAAACATATGTATGCCATTTAGATCTGAAAATACAGATGGGCCACAGAGTAGATTCAGATCATCATTTATGAAAAAGCAAAGTACTACGTGCATGGGCACTGCAAACATATGTTAAGCCAGTGGTTTAAACCACCCAGGAAGGAAAATTTCACCCTCCATCAGACACAGAAACATGAATTGAGAATGGCATTAAATTATTTCTATTAAAAACATCAGAAATATGTTGCAGCATTGTTCACTTACTGTTTGGTCACTTCAGGCATTTTTGGTTGTTCCTTTTTTTTCCCTTCAGCTGGTTCGATGGGTGTAAGTAGCACTGCAGCACAAGACACGATTGATTGGTGGGAATCTTCCCGGCAAACTGCAAAACAAGAGTTTGGTTATCACCAGAGATGCACTGAGGAAGTTTTCTTGATAAACATGCTATTTTTATAATTTGCATGTCAAATATTTACTAAGAGTATCACAATGTCATCACAATACTGAGAGGCAGGAAAAGGTGAAGGAGTAACCAAAGGCCTTTCAATGACTGTGTATAAAAGAAACAAGTAGGGCAACATTGGGTCACTTCCCAAATTTGCTTAAAAGATTTACATCCTTACAATAAACCGTATGTAGGGACATTCAAATCCTTGATTCTCAATTAGCTGCAGGAAATGGTACATTTTCTTCCTGCTGTGAGGAAGTCTTCAAACACTATGCAGTTTTTGAAGACACACACACATATATATACTTCATTTGTACAAAATATGTCTTAAACTGCAAAGATTTGCATTAAGGGAGGATTCTTCTCACAACACTTAAAGAAACATTTTTGACCACTTTGAATATTTTCTAAATTTATTTCCATCCCTAATATTTGCTTATCATTTCCATAGTTGATGTATTTGCACTGTTTACTTGGAATAACACCCATATATATTAGAATAGAAAGAAAAAGAAAAGGAGGAAAAGGAGGAAAAGGAACTAAATGTCTTAGGAGAACTAAAGCCATTCATGCCACGTTTTTAGCTAACAATGGTACAATCTATGTGCATTTTCAATCAAGAAAGAAAAGTGTCATTCTGGGTAAGGTGAGGGTGCTGAGAACAAAACTAGAAATGTTAGAAATAAAAACAGAAAGGCCATATGCACTGACACTGCTTATTATTTCTCTGTGTTGACCACTCTCCTGCTGAGCCTGGTTTCCATTCACAGTCTGAGAGATTTTGTGAGGGCAAGGAGAGAAAAGAAGAGAGGTCCAGGCAGATTCTCTGGAAAATATCTCAAGGAAATCCGATCCTTAATATGGATCTTGGCTCATCCAGACTCATTCTCAAAATCCACTTTTATCTTACTAGATTCAAAGCTTTTACAGCCATGTACCCTTACAGTCTTTTCAAAACATAATGGCATTTAATTAAAAATAATTTTGGCAATTGATTAACAAAAATATTGATTTACCACTTTGTGCCCAAGTTAATTCAAACATCTAAATACTGGGAAGTTGCAGATGTAAAGGACATACCCATTTTTGGAATATTTCTTTTTATTATTATTATTCCAAAGGGTATGGTAGGAATACGGGGAGGGGTAGGAGTGTTAAATTAGTTTTAGTAAAATAATAAATCCTAACAAATATGTAATAAATCATCAAGAGAAAGGAGAGTGATATGGTGGGCAAGGGAAAACATAGCCCGAAAAAACCCACAAGAACCTACATTATATAACATTTTACTGTATTGCATCCAGTTTTTAATCTCTATTACTCTATCATCTGTTGCTTAAACTACTACCCCCCCCCCCGAAAAAAAAAGAAGAAAGAAAGTTGCTGTATCTTCTATATAAAAGAAGGGTCTTATTCTCCGTTATTTTAAAACCTAAAAGTCTTGTCTTCTTTAATCATCTTCTTACATTTGAACTTATTTCAGATTTCTTTTTCCTTTTCTTCTTTATTGTTCCTGCAAACTTGTTCCTTTTTAAAAACTCTTGTTTAGTTGTCTTTATTAACAAACTAATCTTAGAAAATTATTAGTCAAATTTGTTTATTAGTAAGTTAGTGTTATACGTACAAGATTTAATATATATCATTGTCACTCATTTCACCCTCCCCATTTTTTTCACTGCACAACCTTTCTATTAACTAATATCTCTTGTATACTAATATACTAATTGAAATAATATACCCATATACTAATTGAAAATATATAAAACAATAATCATGTTTTAAATCGCCAAATTTTAAAATCTCATTTTTATTGATCTCTTGTTCAGCCAAATTTCTTTCTTTCTTTTCTCTCAATCAATCCCAGAGTTTTTAGTTTTGACTACCCATTATCATTTGGAATTCTCCTTTCTTTAATATCCGCTTTTACAAAGTCCTGTACTAATCATTCAATAATATAATCTCACCCATTTTTCTTTAAAGTCTTTGTGCTTTCTTCCTTAGGTTTTTGTTTCCAGTCTTGCATTCAGCATTTACTTCAAAGGACTGAACCACCTGTGCCTCCCCATATATTCCAACTCTTTTTGTAGATATTTGATTTGGCATCTTCTTCTGTCCCCAGATTTCTTTGATAGTATCTCCCAACTTAATTTGATGTTTCTCTTGTTCCAGCTGTATGTTTTGTCGCTTGATTCTGTGTGGAGTCAATTCTGTAATGGTTCCCTCTGGATTCCTTCTTTGTGGTTCTTTATTGGTTTCTCTTCAATTTCTTCTTCTATTTTTTCCTTCTTATTTACCACCCCTTGCTCATATTATTTTTCCAATTTCAATTGTCTTTCTTTGGAGGCCATAAATTCTGCATGTTTAGCTAATATATTATTGTGTCATTTTCCTTTCTTCATTTTAGGATGTTTAAATTGAAATTTGGATTTACTATGTAAACACTTTTGTCCACTAAATGTTGTATGTTGACAAAATTTTCTAATAAATGTCTTTATGAACAAGCTCCTATATTCAGCAATGCTTCAGGAAGATGTTTTATAAATAAATCACATGTTTGACTGCTTTTCATTCAAGGTCACACTGAAAAATCTTCCTCCTTTCCTTTCTCTTTTTTCTTCCAGCAAACTACAAATCATTATTACTTTGGGATTATATCTGTTTCTTAACAAGAATTGCACTTTATCTTCTGTTTGAAAAATTAAGGTTTCTCATTTCTTGTTTCTCATCCTCTTTCTTCCTTTCTGTTTTTCTGAGTGAAGCAGATTATAAACTGACTCATTACTTTTTAATAATTTATTAATTTCAACTCTCTTTTATTTATCTCTTTATCTATATCTGTAGCCCCCCACTTTTGGAACTTGCTGCCTATGGGGATCAGGCAAGCCTCCACCCTAGCTGCTTTTAAGAAGACCTATAAACCTGGCTCTTCTGATGTGCCTTCAGAGAATGACCACTCAACCCATCTGGTTGTTTTAGCCTATAGCTGCCCTTAGAATAAAGCACCTCCCCTGACCCCTAACATGGCTAAATCCCTCTGCTCCTCCCTGTCGGGCCCCTCTCTTACAAATGTACTTTCATCCCTATCTCACCCAGGGTTTTAACTTTTTAACATTTTACCTCAAACATTTGGACCGCCCTCTCTGTCTGATTTTATTATGCTGCTTTCTATTGTTGATTGTATTTGTTATTTTATATTTTGTTATGATGTATTTTGTTATTGTGTGTTTATTATGTTGTATTATTTTGGGCCTGGCCTCATGTTAGCCAAGTCCCCTTTGGGGAGATGGTGGCAGGTTATAAATAAAGATTATTATTATTATTATTATTATTATTATTATTATTATTATTATTATCTGTTAGATAGTCCTGTTTGCATGCAATAGGGTAACAGTGGAAATCATTATCATCAAATAATTGTCAGTAAATAAAAGTTCATTATTTCGTTGTTTAATATCCTCCTCCTTCTTTAGATATTCTTTGATTCCAAGGGGGTCTTGAGGGAAGGTAATAAGGTTGGGAAAGTTGGTTGGGGGTGGACAGTATAGCTAAAAACAGCTGCACGTCTCTCCTTCTTTCATCCCCTCAATGGTGATTAATCGATAGAGCAGCAATCCACTGGGAGATTCCCACAAGATTATTGCTTCCCCCATCAACACCGCCATTGTGAAGTTTACAAGGGCCTACACTTCTCCTTTGCTTATTTATGTGTAGCCAACTGAACTCCTGCCCTTATTTTGAGCTCGTTGGGGGTACTAATCATTGTTAATGAGTACAGACAGAGCTGTTCATCATTTAGTCTGCTGCCATTCCTAAATCAGAAGTTAAAAGGACACATCCTTAAGAGATGACTTATTGCGGCAGATTTGGGCTTCTCCAAATGGGTCAAATGTGCTGGAAGGTTGCAGTAATTCTCATAGTTCAGGTTGTTAAAAAATACAAACATTTTCATTATCCCAGATTATTTACTAGTATGGCTCCAACTTCCCCGCTACTTTGTAGTTCAATGGTTGTCTGAATGGCAGAGTGGTGGAACTCAGTTAAGGATGTATTTGTCCATGAACAGCTAAATAGAGCCAATACAACTGCAGCTACCATATGATGATGATATCATTCAATATCATAATACTCCAAACCAACATCATATACTTACTGAGTTTTGTTAATTACTCTGTGTGAGACAGAATTATGTAAGAAATATTTTTAAGACTGGCTTCATACAGTTTCTATACAGCTCCATACAGTTTCCATACATCAAGAAAGTTACCATTGAAGAGGCTAATATAAATATCTATAAATCTTCACTGCCAGAAAGCTGTTGGGAAGGAGATGATGGACTCAATCCAATTTTAATATAATAAAAGCCATTGCAGCCTACACTAATTGTCTATCCTGCTGGGATAATTGAATCACTGCTTACTTATCATGTACTTAAGTGGAACTTTTGCCTAGTGGGTCACTGCCCCAGGTTGAAAGCAGCATCCAAAGAGGATTGCTATTTCTTAAACATTAACTCCCTCCTCATAAACAAGTGACTTTCACCTTCATATGCTATCACCTTCCTTCAACACTAAGAACCTCATCACATTGATGGTTAGCTCAGTCTCAGCATGCTTTCATACCAGAAGACAGCCCTTAAAGAAGACATGGTAAACCATTGGAGTTCCTATTTCAATGAGGAAAAAAAAATACAACAGCAAATCAACGCAATCAAAATAACACTAAGAAACACAATACATTCAAGTTCCAAAATGAGTAGTTCAAAGCAAAATACCAGATAAAGCTATTTAGTTTATTAAGTCTCTCCAGAGGACAATACATGCTGCTGTTATTATGTTAGAATATTCAATGAACAGGAATTACTTTTCATAAAATGGCTTTTTCTTTTCTTTTTCTTATGCTCACATGGCTATTTTTTCATAAGAACTAATGTCCAC